CTCACACGTAATCGAACTCCTGAACCCTGTTCTGGTTAGCAGACCTGAACCTATTCTTTTAGAGACCCTTAAGCTTAGGTGTTTCCTGAAAGGACAGATTCTTTAGGTGACCAATCGCACCTAGACAAAAAAGATTGGTGGTAACTCTCTAAAAGTCAATGTCTAGCGATAGATCCCCGGATCTAGACGTTATGACAACAAGTACTCACAAGTTGGTTCAAATTTACCAAAATTTCAACCTATGAGATATGTTGCTTACTTCATAAATACGAGTATAACTATGTACTAATCTCAATAATTTTTGTCAATGTCCTCTTATTGATAAAGCGTTGACTAAGAATTATTTTAGACTATATAATTTTATACAATAATGATCTCATAATTACAATCTCATTATAATTCTCTTGTAAAATTTTATTTATATTTCAAAAATTTTATCATGTAAGCATCGACAACAAAATATATAAGTTTAATGATTAATAATTAAAACTTTTATAAGATATCAAATATGATAATATTTTGATAAAAAATGATTCAATTTGAAAGGCAACTACCAATAATCTCTATTTTAAAATTCTGTCCTTCTTTCTCTTTTCCTGCGTATTGATTTAAGTGTGGAAATACAACGTTAAAAAAATCTCTAATCTTTATTATTAATTAATTTTTCACTTTAATATTTTAGATTTTTACCCTTATCAAGATAACTCGGCACCAACGCCGCCCTATCAGCAGCCTTTTGGCTAGACAACCAGACATTTAGCGTTATTCGAAAGTCTCATACTTGCGCTAATTAATATATATATATATATATATAATAATCCCGTCTCGTACTTTTACCCGACCGTTGCAATAAAATTTCTCTCTTTTCCTCTGTTACTTGTAGTGGGCTAATGACTAATGACTAATGACTATGTCTAGCATGAGGCTTGAAGATCGTCGGGGTTTGCAGTTTTAAAAGTTTCTTGATGGACAAGCATAAACACAACCCAATTAATAAAGTTTTGATTTGGACTCATTCCGTTAAAGCATGGTATGGCCACATTCCTAGTGATGGCCTCTATTGCCTGGCCCAGTTTTGTCAATTTCAGCTTCCAAACCCGGATCTTACCATTAATTGTTCGCTTTCTGGATTTGGTTTCTCTTGTTAATTTGGAAAATTTATTGCGATGATTTTATATCAATGACAAGGAAGCAATATTTCAATCAATAAATAATTAAGTGTCTGGAATCTGATGACAGCCAAACTATCTGAACTAGGTATATATGTACAATATTTAATCTGAGCCCTAAAAACAAATGAAAACACTAGTATAAAGTTGTCGGTTGAATTTTAATTCCGACTTTGCAATTATATTTTTGTTGGAAAGAGGCAGGAACTACAATTCCTTGTGTTGTGTTCCACTTCCACAGTAGTGCAAGCCAGTTTTCTGACTGATCATACCTGCTTCTGGTTGTTCCAACATGAGGGAACAGGACAGGAGTCTTGCCCTTCACACAGCTTGTAAATGGATGATGAAATTCAACTTTCTAGCTTTCAGAACGTAACAATTAGGCAATGCTAAGCTTATTTCCTAATAAAAACATACTTAATTTGTGACTTGGAGAATTGGAAGTTGAACGACCCATTACGGAATTTTGTTGTGGTTGACAACCAGCGAATGGCTAATCTTTGAACTTTTTGACAAGTTCAAAATTAGGTGGCATGATTTAAAAGGTTGAAATTAATTTAGTCTGGAACGTTGAGCTTTTCAGAATCTAAACTATGTGCATTAATGCAATTGGATTGGAAGCCAGCTTTTTATTAATTTAATAAGGAGCTCGCTCTTTTAACATTTGTAGAGGAATTTTTTTTGTTTTTTTGGGGTTCAAGGCATTTGTAAAGGTCTTAAGCTTTTAGTTTTAGCAAGCGTATGTCCTACACCCATATAAAATATATATGCACGTATATCTCATGTGGACTTGGATCGACCATGAAAGCTAGAAAGATTAATTTATTTATCTCTACTTTGTCTTTTTATATTGGCCTTGAAAATGATGATCTGGTATACTAACAGTTCATTCATAATATATATATATAGTCAAAATAAGATTAATTAATGCTTTTATTTTTAAATCAGCTAAGCTACTTCGAAGGATAGTTCGTTTGTTTTCGTTTTGACAGTAAAATACATGCAAAATAGGGTAGGTCTAGGAAAATGCAAATAATTGGTCCATCTGCCATTAACTGACTAATTGCAAAAAGTGAGGCGAACTTTCATACCTATTTTACACCCAGATCTCACACTTGAAATTAAACAATGAGTCATGCATCCTCGAAACAGTTTGTAGCACTAGTTTTTGACTCAATTATCACTATTATGGTCCCTAATTTCAGTGGCAGTTAGAGAGCCTATTTGCTGAGCTTTTGTCCTAATTAATTTAATTTCCTGGTTTTCATGCGCCACTCCCTCTTTAACCTAAACTATATATTTTTCTATCCAGAAACCACTGGGTTGGGTGAATAATGAATGCCTTTGATTTGTATTTTACAACTACTTTTTTGTGGAGAGGTAGGCAAGCATTGGTCAACAACTCTCCAGCAAGCCCTCCCCCATTCATTTTTCATATAAATAATAGTAGTAGTAATAGTAAATTGCAATTGGAGACCAGCTAGGTAGCTAGGGACAGCTTTCCAACACCAATATCCTTTTAAATGAAGACGATAGGCTAGCTAGGATAGTAGTAGTATTAAAATTCCAGCTGCATTATTCTTCTCCCTAACTACTAGTAAGGATACATAGGCTAACTTGAGCATTTTTTACGGGTGATGTTTAAATTAATATTAAACTTTTTATTTGAGTTAAATTAGAATTAAACGTTTTTGAGTTATAATAAACAAATTTTGTGTATAACTCGCATTTTTAAATGCACTTGTATAAATCACCTATCATTTTTTTTACATGATGTCTAAAAATCAAGTGTTATTTTTTAAATTATGCGGCATGACACATGTTTAAATATATATTTTTTAGAGATAATTATATAATTAATTAACATAATTAGGATTAGTTTTAAAAAGGTAATTAATCTCGTTTACTTAGTTTACGGTAAAAGAGAAAAAGATTAAAAATGAAAAAAAAAAAAAATGCATGTTTCTCCTTTGAGAAATCTCTCTTATCAAAATCACATTTTTTCCATATGAGATAAGTGTCTTATCCCTTCTCACCATTTTCTCTTTTCCGTCGAGACCCAATTTCCCCTCTTTATCAGAAACCCATTTTTCTCTCTTCCATTAAAAAATTTGTAAAAACCCAATCGATTTTTCTTCTTACCTGAAAACTAATCCGATTTCAAATAAGTTAGGGTTTTTAAGTTAGCTACAATCCAACGCTTCAGTAAGAATTTGTGTTACAATATCTAATCGGAACAACTTGAATTTGGGTTTTTAAGTTAGGGTGTAGAGATGAGTTTCGGGAGACTAGATTTTACATATGGGTTTTGGGGATGTGAGTTGGTGGATTGTTTTGACTATAATTGGAATAAAAGAAAATTTTTAGGAGTATAATGCATATATAGTTTTATGCATGGGTTTGGGGTTTTTTGGTGGATTGTTTTGATTTGATAATGATTTGAATATGGGTTTTTCTTTTTGCTTTATTTTAAATTTAGGTTTGAATCAATTTCTTCAATTTTGAATATGGCATTATGAGTCTAGGGATTTTACATATGGGTTTTTGCGATTTTTATTGGTGGATTTTAATTTTGATAATAATTCTTTTTTCTTTTACTTTGAATTTGGCTTTGAATAAAATTCTTTTATTTTAAATACGGGTTTGATTTGAATTTTTTTCCTTTAATTTTATTTTTTTCTTTAAAATCAATTTATTTTTAAAAGAAAATGTTACAAAACATTGACGTAAACATTTCTCTCACCATTTGTCACCGTTAATGGCACGTGTACAGTATAAACAAATTTTCTTCACGAAAATTCTTTATTTGTTACAACTCAAAAAAGTTTGATTTTAATTTAACTCAAATAAAAGGTTTATTTCTAAATTGACTATCACTCTAAAAATTTAAACTTAAGTTGAGCATTCATTTAGTCGATATATAAGAAACTTAACCTTTTGTTTTTAAATTAAATTCAGCTTAAAAGCTAACTTGTTGTATTATACGACTAAATTTCTACAATAATATATAATCTATTAATAATTGAGAAAATTAGCCTGTAATAAGTGGCTCTAATCTAATTTAATCTAATCAAATCAATTATATACTACATTTTAACAGTTGAACGTAGCCCATGTAAAAACTACTCTTTCTTTTCTACCATTTGTTAGGTTGATTACGCAATCGATCCAATTTCAAATTGGAAGTAATATTTATGTTTGCAGTATACCCACTTTGACTTAAAAGTAACGTATACACTTTACTATATTATATTATATAATATAGTAATATATATGTATATATATATATATACATAGATACAGAATTCTTCTTCCTTCCATTATTAATTTTCATGGTTGACTTGCACCAAACGCACAACCAAAAAGGCAAAGGTCGGTATCCATAAATAAACGTATATTCAACCAAACAAAATGCAGACGCAACCTCTATGGACCTGTACTCTGAGACGAACCTTCAGTTTCGTGACAGTAAAATTTTGGTTGCTAATTGTTCAAACAGGGGTTTTCTTTTTTTCGGTGGTCACTTTCGATTTACGTAATGATCTCAAATAAGTTTGTACTATTGGTGTTAAAAAAATCTTTTTAAAAAAATTATTAACAAGTACCTTTGAAGCACCTTTTAAAAATTATTTAATTTATTAGTATTTATAGTAACAATTGTGTATTAAAAGCAATATCTGATCATGATTTTCAATATATTAAGTGAAATAATATCTTTATATAATAATCTTAAAAAAAGTCATCCAGTAGCAAAATCCTAAAAATAAAAGTTAATACTTATTTGAAGAATAAAATACTGGAATAAACTAATTTACATCATGCATCCATACTATTCTATTGTAAATCTTGCAGCCGTGGACTGAGCACATCCAATTCAAAACCAAGCTAGATTTTGTTGTATTCCCAGCGTAATGAGTTGGGGGTATAGGCAAAAGTAGCTAATTATGCAACTTGGCTTCGCCCCGGTTTTTCTTGTATATCAGACTTGTTCTGTTTCTTTGGATCTTGAAATAAAATTGCAATTGTCCAAAAAGATTTCATCGAGCTTTTGGGGAAAGAAAATTGTAAAATGTGAGTCTGGTCTTATTGAAATCAAAAGAAACTAAAGGAAAATGAGAGGGAAATATTGTTATTACAGGCCAACGCAATTTGTCGATGCGGTAACCCCTCCATCCACAACAAGGTTATGACCACTCACATACTTGGATTCATCACTAGCAAGGTATAGAGCAGCCTCTGCTACGTCTTTAGCCCTGAGGGTTGGACCTTTCAAATAGGCCAGGCCTCGCACAAACTCCTCCATCTTCTCCACTTCCTGATCATATGGAATCCCAAAATTCATAAATTCCTCTTCTTCTTCTTCATCGCTGCCACTGCTCCGCCATGCATTAACAAGCATTGAAGTCGCCACTCCAAATGGAGAAATGCAATTCACTCTAATCCCAAACCGGCCTAGCTCACACGATGTGTTCTTTGTGAGCCCAACAATGGCGTGCTTCGATGCTGTGTAAGCATGTGGACCTAGCCCTCCCATGACTCCGGCAACACTAGCCGTGGAAATAATGCACCCTCCTCCTCTGGGAATCATCACTCTTGCTGCATGTTTAATTCCTAGCGCCACACCTCTCACGTTTACACGCATAACGCGGTCAAACTCATCGATGTCAAAATCAACAATGCTCTTGTGCTTTTTCTGATCTCCAAGCACCCCGGCATTGTTAAAAAGGACATCAATCCGTCCATATCGTGAAATTGTGGAGTCTACTAAGTTTTCAATGTCTTCTTCCAAGCTAACATCACAATGAACAAAAGTAACTGAAGGAGCCAAGGAGTCAGCAAGTGCAGTTCCAGCCGTGTCCTCAACATCTGCAATGATTACTTTTGCACCATGCTTAGCGAAAAGCCGAACTGTTGCCTCCCCAATTCCTCTGGCGCCGCCTGTGACAATTGCAATTTTTCCCTCCAGCCTAGACAATAAGATGAACAAGTACTTTAGTTGATATTATATATCAATAAGTCAAGATTCAACTTTCAATCATATTTGTCTAATTAAATGCCTATCAAGATTCCTATATATTTTTCCAGCCTTTCTCTAGGTCCTAATGCATAGCGTATATGTACATATCAAAAGAAGAATACCATAAGCAAAAGCTAAGAGCTAACAAGGAAATGCGAAATTTTGAAAGTAGTTGCTATTACCTTTTAGAGGAGAGAGGATTAATATTCTCCCTGTCCAAGACATGGAGGGCTTGAAACGTTTTATCTGGCATCAATTGGGTAGTCATGGTTAGAGGCAGAGCAGGGCTTGCGGAGGGGAGCGAGGAGCACAATGGCCTGATGCTACTGCTGATGGTGGTTGTAGGTGAAATGAGGGGGAAGAGAATGCGCAAATGAAAGGAAGAAAGCTATTGCTGCGGCTTGGTGTATGTTACAGCTATATATTGTCTACTAGAGAGTGACTTTTCATGATAACTTCACAAGAATTGGTAATTAAATTAAGGAAAGAAAACTACAATTAATATATTGTTTAAAAATTTTGTAAAATAATGTGTTAAAAGCAAAAAAATAATAATAATAAAATAATAATTTAATTTTCTTAATAAAAACACCCATTTGACCGAATTTTTAAGCTGAATAAACAAAGGATCTCACCACCTATCAGTCTCGACCGGCATTGAATAATTGAATGCTAATGTAGTAGTTAGTTTATGATTTGCATGTTCTGTTTATCAACACACATTTGTGATTTTGGTTTTTACTTTTCACCATTAAGGAAAAGGAAAATTGGTCTTACTTCTAAATACAACCCTCCATTATTGGTCTAAACTAACCTTTCCTTATGGTTATTTGGGACCACTGCATGGCCAATGACTCCAACTCAATACAAATTAAAAAGCTCCACACCTATCTATGTATATAATACTAACATAATTATCAATTAATAAATTAAGCTAATAAGGAGATTTGAGAAATCCCCAGTAATCATCTATATATATATATATATATATATATATGTGTGTGTGTGTGTCGGAGAATCCTCCAAATTGTATATGAGATATCCACCAGGGAAAGGGAAATTATAGAAAAGTGCAAAAGCCATACTAATAAAGAAAAGCTGTACGTAATTAGATACCGGGATCGTGTCTGCTAACCTGCCTAGCTATTTTTTTATTTTTTTTCTAGCCACTAGCATGTGAGAACTAATCCAACTTCTTCTTGTTTTGTTTTTTTTCCTTTTGCCCAAACCAGATTATATTACATTAATTATTAGTTATATAATATAGCATTGATGGGAAAATTAAGTCTGTAAATTAAAAGCTTAACTAATTATACTACTAATAAATATTGCTGTTTATACATTCTTGTTTATTTGTTTACACCACCAAAGTATTGATAATAAGTTCTAACAACTACGAATGTAATTGAGATATAGACTAGCTACATAAACAATTAAGTAGGTGGTGATTTTGGGTAGAAAAACAAATTGCTAATGAACAACAACGATATAGTATACATAAAACTGTTGCAAATCTCTCGTCATATTTCTGCAACTTCTTGCTCATTTCCTATATAATTGTTTATTATTACAATTTTATAATGCACCAGTTTTGGCATTTAAAAAAAAAAAAAAAAACAAAGTCATGTATACCTCGAGCTTTCACTTAAGAATTATATAAGATTCACGTGAATCTATTTTTTATGTATGAAAATTGAAAATTGGATTTTTATAATTGACAGAAAAACTCTCTAACTTGAAGTTTCTCCATAACAAGGAAAAAAAAATCAGTTTTCATGAAACTCGGACAGCATTTGGCATTGTTGATTACTTGACAGATGCTGATGAAAAGTTAAACCAAATATTTTCATAATAAATTTTGAAAAGGGGGGATAATTATTGGCAATCCTAAAAATATGTACATAGGTAGCTAGATAGATAGTTGTAAAAAAAAAAATGAAGATGGATAGATAGATAGATACTCGCAATAAACCATTGACCTGAAATATTTCATCTCATACATTTGGAAATGGCTTGTCTAATTAAGGCTCTTTCTCTACCTGCTATAGCAAAAGAGGGTTTTTCTTTCCTGGCATATGATCCAATTAATATCAGTTAGTCCCGTATTTTGCTAGATTTACATACCCTCCAATGAGCCAATCATCTCATGTGTTAAAGCTTTTATAATTGTATAATTGAATTAGTCAGTGGTCATCATAGTTTATGTAAAAAGTGTAGCTGCCCAGCTCAAATATTCGTGGAGATTGTGTCTCTGTAGTCTGTACGAGAGCCAGACTGTCTTCCATGAGAAAGTAATGTTTTATGCGGTTGCGGTACCACCATGATCCAGTGCCTAAGTTGTTGGCTTCAATATTCATGAGTGCGTCAAAAGAAACAAAACAATCATCAGTACCGGCAATGATACACACCATTCCATGGATGATCTGCTTACTGGGTCCTATTAATATCATGCCCCTGCATTGCTAATTAATTATATCTATTCTCTATTTACAAAAATATGGCCTCTCATACTTTTTCTAATTTTGCCTTCTAAACTATAGAAGCCAAAGTCTTAAACTAATACTACAAATTATATACATACGTTATACATAAATACTATAAAGGAAGAGCTAATCCTAATTAAATTCTCTCTTTGATCTATATGTTTGATTATGTTGTGAATTAGTTGTTTAAGAATCTCTAAACAGTAATAGACAGGCTCAAAGATATAAAAAACCTCTCAACCATAATTAAAAATTTATTTAAACTCATATTTTTTATTATAATCAATTAACCTATCTAATATTTATTTACATTCAATTAAGCTTCTATTTGAATAAAAAACTTAACACCATTAATTTTTTGATTAATTAAAATAAAATTTCATATAATATCAATAAAATAAATAAAAATTTATTACTTAACTCTTTTTATTTTCTCTTTTTCTCTCTCTCTAAGATCCTTTAAGAATTTAATTAATTATAATTCAAAGATTAATTTATTTAATTTTGTCACATGATTAAATTTTGTTTAATTAAAAATTCAATTAAAACAAAATATAAAATTAAAAGCTTGATTTATTGTAATAAAATATCATAAAATTAAATTATTATTAAATTTTTATTCAAGATTTTTTTAACTCTTTTATTTAATATATATAATAGGATGGAGAAAAAATTTAAAAAAAATCAAATATCGAACCGATTCGAGGCATATCCGACATTATCCAAATCGACCCACACCTTCTTTCAAGTATTAGAATACAGCTCATGCTTGAGCCACGTGAACGCAATTAAATGCCACTGACTGCAATTAAATGCAAGTCTTATGCCAAAAGAAAAAGCAGGTCATTGGAAAACAATTTTTTAAAATTTAAAATTTTTTTGTTTCCTTCTCCCATTCCAGTCATTGGAACACAACATTTTTAAGTTTAAACTATTTTGCAATTTTTTTTTTTTCATTTCCTTCTTTCATTCCAGTCCACCGGAATACAACATTTTAAAGTTTAAATTATTCTGTAATCTTTTTATTTATTTCTTTCTCCTGTTCCAATTTTTTTAGTTCAGAATCATTTTATCATTGTTGGCTTCTTTCTCTCTTTTGCCTCTGCAACCTCTTTTAACATTTAAACTTTTTAATCCTTCATATTGCCTGTTTTTGGAAATTATTATAGTATAGAAGTACGAAAATAATACTCCTACTAATCGACCAAGCCTGGTTAATGATGTACCAAAATCATTGGGTCTTTAATGCTTAATTCTGCATTGAAGAGATGTATGAAGATCTGGCTAACAAAACTAGTGCATAGCACATGATAAAGAGGGATCCACTTTAAAACTTTTTTAGTTTTATATTTTTTTTAATAACTGATTTTAATAGATCTTAAGGATGTTATTAAATCATTTTTTTATTGTTATTTTTTATCTCATACTTTAGATCTATTAAAATTAAAAATTAAAAAAAATATAAAATTTTAAAATTTATACTATATAAATTGATTCATTATATATATATATATATTATTCCCTTATTAAATGTAAGAGAAAGGAAGACAGAAAAATAAAATTAACACATATCCTTGACCCATGTCTCACCATAGTTTTACAATGGGATAATGTAAAATAAATATTTATTAAATTATAATAAAATATTTAATTTGATATCTAAAATTTAAAATTTTATAATAAATTTTTTAATTATAAATTTATTAACTAACTTGATACTTTAAAAATTATTTATTCATTACTATCATTTGAAATTAATTATATAAAAATAAATATCATATTAATTAATATATTTATAATTTAAATATTATATTAAATATTTTTTAATTTTAAATATTATATTAAATATTTAATTATAATTTAAAGATCATTCGATATATCAATTTTTTTGTAATTTTTTTATATCTCCTTAACCTACCTACGTAGCACCAAGAAAGATTTGAATATCAGAATTTTAAATTTTGAGTAAGCCGCCCACACCCATTGGTTATACGAGGGACGGATCTATTGGAGACTAAAACTGTGTTACTAGGATTTTTTTTTTTTTTATTGGAGGAAACGGATTAACACCTCATTACTACGGTTGGGTAATTGAAGTTTGCCCATTGGTTTGGAGGCTTGAAAGCCTAGCTACCTAATAGTAGCTAGATTCTTCACACTGCATATAATATATGATTATGGCTGCCAGCTCCCAAATAAAAGAGATTTTCTGTAACGTTTTTTGCAGGTCTCAAGCTCTCACCATAATACAGGAGTATTTAATATTTCTGGATCAGAACAAAGATAGAAATTGAAAGTGCTAGCGAACTGATTGGTTGATAAAATATATTTGATTAATGTGGGATTAAATTAATTAATCTCACTTTCATTAGAAACGTATGGGGAAGTAAAAAGAGGAAAGAGAGAATTAATTAATGGGATTAAACCTACTTATTCTCGAAATTTAAATCTGAAACTTGTTCTAAGTGGTGCTGCTTCACATATTTTCTCTTACTCAAATATTTAAGAAAACAAGAACAGAAAGATGCAAAGCGCCATCGAGATTCAAGGATGAAGGTCTCCTTCACATCGAATCGGGTTTTTCTTTCTAGAATCTATAGAATTCAAGGCCCAGGTTGCTGACCGCCCAAATCTTTTCAATCGCTTTTACGGAGGCTTACTGTCCCTACTTTTGGTTTTTATTGTCTTGTCTTGCACCACTCTAAGACCTTGTGGAGTCTATGATTTAACAAATAATTTCCTTCTCTTTTTTTTTTTATGACATGATAATTAATATAATAGAAATTAATTACTAGTAATTAATATATTACAAAAACTTAGCTTAGCCCCTAACAAAAATTCATGACTCAACTCAACGATCCATTCTGTTTTATCGTAAATGTAAAACAATAACAATATTGTATGACAACTTTTTTTTTGATGTCTGCCTCTACCTTCAACTCATTTTTCCTTTCTAATAATTCATTGTAAAACAAATCAACTAGCCATATTGTCGACATTAATTAAGTTCAGTGTGGTATTTAATTTATTATAATTTCATATATAGTAATTTTATATTAATCATTGAAGTATTTGCTTACAATACTTGGCGATAATTCCAAATCAATTAACGTTACTGCAGCCCAATAATTTATAAGTGAATTTTTTTCAAATTATTATTATTATTATAATCATTAAATATTATATTTATATATAAAATTAAACAATCAATTATTATATCATAATTAAATTATAAGCATTAAATAATCAATTAATAAATTAAAATATAATTAAATAAATCAACCAGCTTTATACTTTCAAGATTTAAACTTAGAATCTCAAATTTTAAAACTTTTTTTTAATTACTAAACTAAAATCTCATTGCATTTATAAGTGAATATCCAAAGCAATCTGCTTGATACATGCCTGACCGTACAAAACATTTTCCCTTTAATTAATTGAAAGATAAAGGTTCAGTTTTGACCATAAAATTCTAAAACCTTTTTCTTCAATAATACATAACCGATTGAATTGACTTGTACCAAACTCACAAGGAAAAAGGCCCGAGTCACAAGCAACCTCTTTTGACCCAACATCTACGCCAGCTTCACATTTCGTGCTGGACTCTCTCTAGCTTACGTAATTTATTGATTATTAATCTTGCATCTCCCAACGCTATTTGTTTTCAAATTTATATTTAATGTAATATTAATCTATAAATTTTTATATTATTAATAAAGTAGGTGATGTTCATTCGTTAATAATATTTTATTAAAAAATTTAAATTTTTATATATTTATAAAAATTAATAAAAATATATATTTATTTATTAGTAAGTTGACATTGTGTAGTGTGTTTATTTTTTTATTGTTTTGTAAGCTTTCGAACTTGGAATCTAAAATCTTCCTTCCGTAGGTGATCATTGGTGTGCTAATTCAAAGATATGCTTCTTTTGTCGGTAATCTTTTCCCCCTCGGTGGGGTTTCCATTGTGACTGCGACTGCATCCTACTATCTCCAACTGAAACATGGAAAGTGGAAAATCTGGCAATCATGTCTACTTCCTAAGGCCTCGAATTATCATAAAAATAAAAGTTAATGTTTTATGTAATATATGTATGGCAATATAGACAAAGAAAAACTTTTAACCCAAATTCGGACTTCATTTGATAAACTGAAAATTTACACTTGAGAGAATCTGTAAGGAATGAAAAGTTAAAAAGAAAATGCGAGAAAATGTTGTTACAAGCCAACACAATTTCTTGAGGTTGTAATTCCGCCATCCACAACAAGATTATGGCCACTGACATATTGAGATTCTTCGCTCGCAAGATACAGAGCAGCCTCAGCAACGTCTTTAGCCCTCAGAGTTGGACCTTTCAAGTTGGCAAGCCCTCGCACAAACTCCTCCATCTTCTCCATTTCTTGCTGGCAAGGAATCCCAAAGTTGATGTCGCGTTCCTCTTCTTCATCATCGCTTCTCCATGCATTAACAAGCATGGATGTAGCCACTCCAAATGGAGATATACAATTCACTCTAATCCCATACCGGCCTAATTCACAAGCTGCGTTCTTTGTCAACCCAACAATGGCGTGCTTCGAAGCTGTGTAAGCATGTGGACCGAGGCCTCCCATGACTCCAGCCACACTAGCAGTGGAAATGATGCACCCACCACCCCTCGGAATCATTGCACGTGCCGCATGCTTGATTCCCAGTGCCATTCCTCTCACGTTCACTCGCATTACATTATCGAACTCATCGATGTCAAAATCAACAATGCTCTTGTGTTTTTTCTGATTTCCTAGCACCCCAGCATTGTTAAAAAGTATATCAAGCTGCCCGTAGCGGGAAATTGTTGAATTTACTAAGTTTTCAATGTCTTCTTCCAGGCTAACATCGCAATGAACAAACGTGACTGAAGGAGACAAATAATTAGCAAGCGCAGCTCCAAGTATGTCCTCAACATCTGCAATGACTACTTTGGCACCATGTCTGGCAAAAAGCCTCACTGTTGCCTCTCCAATCCCTCTAGCGCCTCCTGTCACAATTGCAATTTTTCCGTCCAACCTGTATGATTGCAACAGAAAGATTTAATTGATTTCTTGTGTAATCTAATGTGGATGCTCTCCTTTCCGAAAATTTCCATTGCAAAATTGAAGGATGTATAAGTATGCAAGAAAATCAAGGGTCCTCAGAGGTGTCCAAGATATAGACAGTAATGTATTACAAGATAAGCATTATGATTTTGTCCAGATAGCCAAGCATGTTATATGCGTTTTAATTTCCAAGTTGCAGGCTTTTCTGCAGATTAAGTGCCTAGTGTTTAATAACAAATAAAGAGGAGTAGTGCAGCGGGGAAATGTGGAAATGTGAAGAAGGCAAAAAGCTATACCTTTTTGGATGAGGAGAAGAATTGTTTTCTCTTCCCAAGAGATGGAGGCCTTGAAGGCTTTTCTCGGGCATCACTTGAGCAGGCATGGTTTATATTCTGGAAGCGAAAGGAAAATGTAGAGAGAAAATTGTGTGTGTGAGGGAGAGAGAGAGAGAGAGAGAGAATAGAATAAAATTGCTGTTTCTTGTTAGCAGGAGAAATGAAGAGATTTATAGCCAGAGGAATGAAGGTTAGTAATGGAGTTTCGGGGATGAGCTGTTCTCTATGAGGAGACTTTTCTAGGCAACTTCCTAAACCTCATTTGTCTGTCGAGGACAAAATTTCTTCCATGTAATGGTAATAGATAAACGGATATCCTATAGTGGTCTACGCATGCCTCCCATCTGTCCTGCTTACGGGGATCATACGCTCATTACTCCCACAAAACCTTCTCAAAAACACATACTCCCCCAACTTCAGTTATTAAAATTCTTTTTCTTTGTTTGCTAATAAAAAATTATTAAGAATCTTCTGTTACCAATATTACTTCTAATTTACACCCTTAATGTTTGTTTTCCAGTCACAGTTTTCACCCAAAGGCAAAAGGAAAAAATAAGAAAGTTTTACAACCTTCCCTTGTTTGGGACCATGGCTAGCTCTGGTCAAACATCTACATATCAGTCTATATGATCATCAAGGTCCAAATGGTTATTAATAAACTAAAACCACAATATAATAACGAGGAAACCAAATGTGTAAAATAGTAGTTGTACAAGTAATTAAAAAGGAGCAAGTCTCAGCCTGGGCAAAGACATGGCTGAAGAAATTAATAAGTTGAAGGAAGCAATATATCTGAAACAAATAAGCTGCGGTTGTTTATTAAACTGGAAAGCAGAATTCACAAATTACCCCTGCAATTATTGTTACTTCTATCCATTTATAAAAAGTTTGCATCAACAGGACACTAAATGATCAACTATGTTCACAAACTTTCCTCTTCTATTGTTGCAGATATTAAAACCTCCTCTCTGGCCTTAAGAGCATTGCTGGGAGTGGGGGCTTAGTAAATAGGGACCTACCATAATGCTTGGGGATTGTGCGCCTCAATGTTTTCATAGAGTGATTTTTTCATTGTTGTAGCAGCATCTGCTTCTTCTTTGGATTAAAAAAAGAAAATAATAATAGTATAACAGTCATACTGAGACATCCATCTTGGACTTGTTTTTGATGATTTTTTAAGTGGTTGTCATAAATAGATGCCACAAAAAAAAAAAAAAAGAAGCCTCAAGTTTATGACCAAATCTGGCCTGTTTCAGGCTCAATTTGTCAAATCTTCGCTGCCTTAGACTGATCAATTCGCCGCTGAACTTTTTTTCTGCACTTAACTCAGACAGGTCATTGGGTATATAAACAATATCTCTGCCCATATTCTGGAGAGGGTAAGCCAGACTGGCTAGCCTGAGAAGGAATATATGTGTTCTCATACCATGCACATCCAATGAGAAAGATATTGGTGAATAAACAAGGACCTGGATATCGAGTTGGTCAAAGAAATAACAATAAAGACCTCAAATGTTGGGGCCTATCATTATTTTGATTATTCATTTTATATTTAAAACACTTGTCAATACTAAACTGATTATTAAATGATCATGAAAAAGAATCATAACGTTTTATGAATAGTTTAATAGGATTAAAGGCACAAACACATCAAACCAGAACAGATTAATCCATTTCCCTGCCTTGTGTTGCAGTTACCAAAGGACCTGCAATATTATTAGTTCTCTACACCGCTTACCAACATTAATTTTCATTTGAGCTTGTTATTAGAACTTATTTTTATGATATTTAATCAGACGTAGTGGAAGCCATCGCTTAGAGACATTAAAGGGACCACTAGCCTAACCAAATTTGATATTACCTAAGGCATACCCTGCATCCAACAGTTCAAGCTTATCCTAATAGAAAATAAGACAAACTGATTTAAAAACACTTAGAACGGAATCTTGAAATATGTTAGGGACCATATATATACAGATAAAGCTTTCACAAAGCATGCAGCAAAGATAAAGAAAAATGCAATTTTATCTTAGTTTAACTTCACTGAGAATTTTCAATTTAAGCTATTAAGGCAGTTTGGGCATGTGAAGTGGGCAGGGGCAGGCCTGTAATCCCATGTACATATATGGAAATGAAGGAGGTGAGCATATGGAGACTAGCGGTTTAAGAAGATAGGAATAGATGTGGCTGGGATCTCTTGGCCTTGGAGATTAACTAGTTGTGGTGGTTTTGAAGGTTAATTACTGTAAACTCGATTGACAGTGGTGCATGGTTAGAACGGAGCTGAGACATGCATATATATGGTGTAATCAAATGTATATAGTTACCTCTGCAGGGTTTGTTTCATCAGACGAGATCAGATCTAGGATTCAAATAGCGTCGCAATAGTGGTATAACGGCTGCTATTTAGCGGAATCGGCACCCACCGCCACCGCTATTCAACCAATATTGGGTGTAAAGAAAATTCACATTTTTAGTGGTTCATTGCGGTCAGCAATAGCAGGACGCAACTGGCTGTATTTTCATTTTTTTTTTGTGAAGAATTTTTTTTTCATCATCAAGCATTAAAATTTCAAATTTTAACAAAGTAAAGCCTCAAACACAAGAAACAAATCCTAGATTTATAATGACTTAGTAAAAAAACAAGCTCAATAAAAAATCAAGAAAATTCTGTTGAAATCAAGTAATAATAAAACACTTAAATTTACCTTTTCTTTCATATTTGCCTGCAAATTTGTGTTGTATAGGGCTTAGAAAAACTTAGACTTTAGAAAGATTTTGCTTGAAACTTTAAAATTTTAAAATTTCATTTATAAGCACTCTGTGGGCGTGGATTTCGGACTGTGCTAGTTGGATCCAAAAAGGAATCAGATGAGTCATTGGGTGGAAAGTTGGATGAAGGTGGAAGCTTGGAGGTTGGTTGGTTGCCATGATTGGTGGATGATTTGCGAAATGCAAAGATTGAGAAAAAAATGAAAGAAGTTTGAGTGGAAAGATTTGGAGAATGCAGGGGATTTTTGAAAGAAATATTTGAGTGAAGTGAAGAGTTTGGTAGGCATCGGTCAATGCTTGAGCAAATAAAAATATATTTTTTTATAAATTTAGGGGCAACATTTTGGAGAGAAATAATTGGATAAAATTAAAAAATTTTGAGAATTAATTTTAACTGAAAAATTTGAGATGAAAGAGTTTGATATAAATTTGAAAGGTATATTATATCATACTTTAGATGAAAAAAAATAAAATATTAAATGATTAATCTATTAATTTGATTTTTTATTTCTATTTTTATTGGGATTTTATTAATGATTTTATTGTTTTAATATTTGTATGTTGTTAATTTTCTAAATGTGAATATTTTAGTATAATATTAAAAAATTGTAAATAATTTTTTTATATAAATAAAATAAGATCAAGTGTCATTAATTACTTTAAAATTCATGAAAAAAAAATTTATGATTATAATTATAATTACTATGTTTTATAACAAGTTGTGCAAATTTTAAAAAAATTCACAACCACGATAACTGTAATGACCGCGATGATATCTGTTATATCCGCAATCGCGATAAACGTAACTCGATCGAAAACGTGTCTACGACCGTAATTTGAATCCCTGATCAGATAGATGGGAATAGAAGCTAATTATAAATTTGATCAATGTGGATGTGGCCTTCACTTCCAAATTCCAATAATGCATAAAAATGTTTGGAAGTTTACAACTCATAAGTTGGACAAAGACAATACCTTGACAAAAACAATGATCTTAGCTGACATTGAGTTACATAAGACAGATAGTCTTAATTATATTCTCGTTGGGGCAAGTAGTACTAGTACATATATATACATGTTTTGTAATTGCAAGTTGTGGGAATATAGATATTCCAGAATGGGAATCAAAGCCAATAATAGATTTAGATGCTCTCTTAGATTTAACTCAAATAGCAAGACCATTTTATATTATTATATAGCTAATTTTAGTAGAAGATTTATATTTATTATGCCAAAACAGATCTATGAGGAAGAAATAATTAGACAAGTAGCTAATGGAGCTAACACTATTATTATTATTATTATTATTATTATTATTATTGTTGTTGTTGTTGTTGTTGTTGTTGTTGTTGTTGTTATTATTATTATTATTATATAGCTAATGGAGCTAACACTACAATTTTGTACATTCTGATTTATATGAACGAACTTTTTTTTCATAAAAAAAAGTAAGTAAAAAAAAATAATATGCAAGTGAACTTAATTATTAGGTATAATAAAAATATGCATCCTAATATGCAAGTGAACTTAATTATTAGTTATGATAAAAATATGCATCCTTAATGAACATGTCAATGTCATGTTGACACTTGATAACCAACTACATATACTCTTAATTGCCATCTCTTTGTTGGGGGCATTTAGTAGTCAAAAGGATATTGTGGTTTTTTCCTTTATTAGAGGTTATTAACATATAGTCAAGAGCATTTCAGACATTTGAGCCGACCTAACCTAACATGTTTAGTGCTACATCAACTTGGTCACATTACTGTTATCCCCAATTGGTCCCCTATATTTTACCTATAAATATGGACTTCAAGTTATTGCCATGCCAAGTTCCATCTTATTCCAATTCATTACTTTTCTTTCCTTTCAACCTCCTTCATTTAGATCTCTAACTTACGCGTCAGAGTACATAGGAAACACTCACTGCCTTTGCCTCTAACCACTATTTTCTTTCTCTTGTAATTTCAAGAATAACCTTAGGTCGGAGGTCAATACAAAAATTTGGCATGTTAGGTAAGGGCCTTTTCTACTCATCAGCTAAGCCTAAAATCATGTCACCCACAAAAGAGTTTTGAAGAAAAGAAAGATGATCATCCTAGCTGGAACAAAAATGTAAAATAGCCAGCACACGAACTGACCTGCTCCAACCACAAGCTGGTCTGACCATGGAGCAATTCTAGGTTCTAACTAAGCAAATACAAGCCTTCAAACAAATGCTACAAGCCATAACCGCACCCCAGGCTTCGAAAGTGCTTGATCTAGTCACCTTCGATCGATAAGCTGTAGAAAGACAACCAAGTTACGAAGACGTAGAAGTTTTCTCTACCT